CAGGACAACAACCTTCGAGGCGGTGCATGGGTGTTTGTGCCTCCTGGTATCAGCGACCCAGACGCTTGCATCTTGTACGTTCATGGGGGCTCGTTCCATAAGTTTCACCCCTTGACTGCCTCCTACGACGTCTTCTGCTCCCGAGTGGCGAAGCGCAGCGGCATGACTGTAGTTTGCCCTGACCACCTTTTGTCGCATCTAGGGCGACCGTACCGAGCCAAGGAGATCATTGCGCAGCTCCTCCAAGACTTGAAGTGGCTGAGCATCATGAATCCAGTCCGTCGAGCCCCCCGATCCTCCCCACCGAAGCTGTTCCTGATGGGGGACTCGTCGGGAGCATGCCAGGCTCTGTCCCTGCTGGTGCTGGCCGCCCGAGAGGGCCCAGAGCTCCTGCCCCTGATCAAGGCGGTGCTCCTCGTCAGCCCCTGGATGGACCTGTCCTGCGGGAGCCCCACCTACATCAGCAACGCCTACGGCCCGATCGGGCACACGGGCGACGTCTGCTGGCCGCGGCCCGCACACCTCCACCCGATCCTGTCCAGGGCGTGCGCCGAGAAGTACCTCGGCTCGGAGACGCTCTTCCGGGACCCCGTGCTCAGCCCCTACTGGCTCTGCCGGGAGGGGGGCCGCGAGCTGGTGGAAGCCCTGGCACAGCACGACGTCGCGATCTGGCTGCTCACCGGGGCCTCGGAGGTCCTGTCCGGGGAGGTGCTGGACTTCACGGAACGCCTCGGGCAGCGGATGCTCGTGGAGACGTGGGTTCATGAAGGCATGTTCCATGTTTTCATGGGCTACGAGTCGCCGATTGCGCCATTTCCCAGCCACATGGCGGCGTGGGATGAGATGGAGAGGTTCCTGAAGGCAGTGCAGACCGACCCAAAGAGCATCCGCAGGGGAGTCAACTATCCACCTGCCTGCGGCAGTCCCGCCACCGTGCCAGCCCAGCAGCGATGGGGAGGAGGAGGAGGAGACGGAGGAGGAGGAGGAGGATGAGGAGGGTAAGGATGAGGATAAGGATGAGGATGATGGTGGCGGTGATGGTGATGACGAGCAGGAGGAGAAGCAGGAGGAGAAGCAGGAGGAGGAGCAGGAGGAGGAAGGAAGGCCGCTGCATGTGACACGTTTTGTTTCGAGCTCTCATGGAACTCGCTTGGGCCGTCTTCGGGCTGTCTTGCCCTCCTGTGATGCAGTCTTAGGGGTCCCGTGGGGCCCGCTCTGGTCGTCTTGGAGTCCTCTTACGCCATCTTAGGGCTCTCTTGGGGCGTCTTGGGGCCCTCGTTGCCGTACGGTGGATGCCTGGGAGCCGTCGAAAGGCTGTCAAACAGGCCGTCCGAGCCGTCTTTAGTCCCACGGGAGGCCCTCTTGGGTTGTCTTGGGGCCATCTTGGATACCTTTTGGGCCGTCTTGAGACCCCTTGGACCATCTTAAGACCCTCTCGAATACATTTTGGGCCGTTTCGGGGCCATCGTGGAGGCTTCTTGGGCCGCCTTGAGCTGACGGAAGCCCGAACAGGCGACAACGCGGAAGTCATACAAAATACGTGTGGGAAATCCATGATCCAGCGTCTTCAGGCCTTGGTGGAGGTCTATTGCGGCCCTTTTGAGCCCTCTTGGCATTCTCTTGGGCCGCCTTGATGCTATATGGGGCCGGAGTGTAGCCATCTTGGGCCGTCTTGGAGGCATCGTGGGCCATCTTGGTGTCCCCGGTTCCCTGCATGGACGGTTTTGGAAGGTAGGGGCGCAGATCCACTGTCTTAAACAAGGCGTCGTGGCTTCCGGGGCGCGGGCCAATGGTTCTTTACAAGGGGATCGTGGCCTCGGGAGGGGGGGGGGGGCGGTGCATGCAGGGAACGCGGGTAGGCGGGGGGGGGCCCTCATCAGAATGCGGGGCCCCCTACCAGACAGCCCTCGGCATCCTTCCACGTCTCCACGTGCACAGGGCACGGTAGCGCATTACATCGATCCCTGGGTCTAGCACCGCGGGACTCTTGGGCGCACAGTGCCATGCGTGGGCGCGGTGCATCTTGCGGGCGCATGCGTCTGAACTGCACGTGGCCATGCTGCACGCGGAGCCATCGGGGGTGTATGCTCTCATAGTATTGAGCAGGGTGTCAGATGAACCACCAGCACGAGGGGTTGGATACGGCATCGTCATTCTCGTCTGTAGTGATTCGTTTCGTTGGCCGTATACTGGGCGTCAAAAGTGCCAGCACCAGTGGGGCACGCCAAGCCTACTAACAACGTGTACAGGCTGAGCATGCGAAGAATTCACGTGTAGGTCTGTTTTTTTCCGTTGTGACGCCTACCAATTTGTACATTCGGGGCCGCGGTGGTAGTTTTCGGCGTAAGGCTGTACGGTGATCTTCACCTCTTCCGCACTAGCCCTGGCGCGTCTTAACCGGTGCATGCGCAGTTGTATCAGAGTTGGAGCGGTTGGGATGGTCTTCGACAAAAATGCAATGGGAGCCCACACCAGGAAGCACCGTACGTTTTGCCAGGGTACCTCGGGTTTCTTTGGCTTGTGTTCGGATTGGAGGCTTGCAGCGGTCGCGAGGAGGAGGAGGAGGAGGAGGAGGAGGAGGAGGAGGAGGAGGAGGCGGAGGACGAGGAGGAGAAGGAGGAGGAGGAGGAGGAGGAGGAGGAGGAGGAGCAAAAGGAACAGCAGCAGCAGCAGCGGCAGGAGGAGGGGCAGGAGGAGGAGGAGCAGCAGGAGGATCCAGTAGGGAGCGTGAGAGACAGCCAAGCTGAACGCAGAAGGCCCCGCAGAAGGCATGCCGAGGTGCTCGGCCTGCGGGCCCAGCAGCAGAGCAGGCAGGCTGGGGGGCTTCGTACACCCAGGCTCCGGGCCATTTCGGCGCACCCCTCACGAGGATCGTGGCCCCATGTGAGCTCCACCGAAGGCGCCAGTGGCAGGGTTCGCATGGCGGCCTCGGGCCATTTCGGCGCACCCCTCACGAGGATCGTGCATGGCCCCATGTGAGCTCCACCGAAGGCGCCAGTGGCAGGGTTCGCATGGCGTTCTCGGGCCATTTCGGCGCACCCCTCACGAGGATCGTGCATGGCCCCATGTGAGCTCCACCGAAGGCGCCAGTAGCAAGGTTCGCATGTTGGCCTCGGGCCATTTCGGCGCACCCCTCACGAGGATCGTGGCCCCATTGGGAGCTCCACCGAGGGTGCCAGTGGCAGGGTTCGCATGGCGGCCCCGCCCCATTCCGGAGGCCAGAGCATTGCCTGCTATCAGCCAGCCAGCTAGCTCTCTCTGCTCCGCGCAGCGGGCCCGCGCGCGTCGTCAGGACCCCTTCGGGACGACCGGCGTGCGTCGCGGGGGGACTCTGTGCGGCGCCGCACCCGCAGCCTTGGACATTGGCGTGCACGGGCAAAGAGGAAGAAAAACAACGGGAAGGAAGCGGGCGCGACCCTTGTGAGGGGGGTGCCGACATGACATGTGCGTCGACATTCACGCACGTAGACTCACGCGCGCGCAGACTCATTCACAATCATACTCACTCGCTCTCAGACTCACCCGCTCTCAATCTCTCGCACACAGGCCTATCGTCTTCGTTCGCGTCGTGTGCCCCGCCACGCATCTCGGCACGCCCCTCACACGGATCGTGGCCACAGAGGGAGCGGGGGCGAAGACGGGACTCACAACTGCGGCAGTCACAATTGCATATGGTTGGGTCCTTCGCCAGGCTGATTTTTTCATGGCGCGACCCCCAGCGGTCCGAAGGATTGCAAAAAAACTCAGGATTGCAAAAAAACGAAGGATTGCAAAAAACGAAGGATTGCAGGGTTTTTTTTGCAATCCTTCGTGCAAAAAAAACGAAGGGTTTTTTTGCAATCCTTCGAGCGGTTTTTTTTTGCAATCCTACGTTGCAATCCTTCGTTTTATTTGCAAGACCCACTCCCCGGGACCAGCTTCTCATCTTGAGTCGTTTCTCACAGCCCCGAGGCCCGAGCCCCGAGGCCCGGCGAGGGCACCCCCAAAGGCCGAACACTGCGAAGAGCCTCCCGCCGCGATTTTTGTTCACAACGCGAGGGGGTCCAGGAGGGAAGAGAGGAGAGGAGAAGGGGGGGGGCCTCCTCCCTCCTCCTCCTCCTCCTCCTCCTCCTCCTCCTCCTCCTCCTCCTCCTCCCCTCCTCCTCCCTCCTCCTCCTCCTCCTCCTCCTCCTCCTCCTCCCTCTCCTCCTCCCTCCCCCTCCTCCTCCCTCCTCCTCCCTCCTCCCTCCTCCCTCCTCCCTCCTCCCTCCTCCCGCCTCCCTCCTCGGCGCAATTTGCTCCGTGCAGCTGGTCAGGGCCCCGCCGTGGGGGGCCGGTCCTCAAGGCGTTGCCAAGGCGCTGGGCTGCGGGCCGCGGTGGTTTCGGAAGGGGCGCGCTGTTCCTCAGGCAGTTTCGTGGCTGCGCCTCCGGCCTGGAGGCGGGCACGTCCTGCCACAGGGGGAATCTTCAAAACCAGTCCCCAAGAAGCAGTATGGGGAAGGCTCTTTAGTATTGTTGGCCATCTTTTATTTTTGTTCGACTGGTTTCTTCTTTCCAAAATCCGCCTGTAGGAGGACATGCCCGACCTTACGCTACGCCTCAGCGCCCCCCCTCACCCCACCTGCGGAGGGGGCGTTCGTGAAGGAATGTGCCCAGGAGGCTTCAGCGCCTGGAGGACTCCGTGTCCAATGAGGGCGGCGGTGATTTCCAGGACCAATCCACGATTGGAGTTCCACCAGTTTCCAGACCTTACACTCAACACGGCTGGCAAGGTTACCCTTGCATCTTTCCTTTTCGGCACGTCCTTGGCCACTTTCGCTGGCCGCGCCCCGCTCGAAGATTATCCACATGGCCTTCCAAAGGCCCTTGCATCCTCATCGTGCATCCTTACTGTACGCGCTGACTGTACTCGGTGGTTCGGTGGTTCCTTCTCACACACCCTCACCGTATTGCTTTCCCCCCCCATTGCTGTCCGCCCCGGGAGCCCTCGGGCAGGCGGTGGCCCCGAGCCCGCGCCGCAGGTGGAGCGCCCCTGGCACGACCTCGGCATCGCGGCCGCGCTCCGGCAGAGGCCCGCCCCCGCGCGCTCGGGGCGCGTCGCTGCCTCTGGCTCTCCGGCCGCACTCGGAGCAGCGACGCGCGCACCGTCGAAAGTTTATGCTGGTGTCGGGGTGGTAACGGTAGGCTCCCGCATTCCTGGAATCTTCCAAGGTGTTCCGACTGTCCTGTGGATCCGAGGAGAAGAGTCGAAGAAGAAACGCCATAAACATCAACTTTTGGCGCTCCGCGCGGATTTCTTGGATCCGCGCTGGGCCCCCCCCGGCGGCGCCTCTGGCGCCGCCCCTGGCGCGCCCCACGCGTCAGGGGGGGGTCCAGCGTAGACCCAAGGAATCCGCGCGGAGCGCCAAAAGTGCATTACACCAGAAATCAAATCCAATCAGTGGATTGTTTTCTAAAGTGCACAGGCACACACACTTTCGTTCCCTCGTTCCGTTCTCTGGTATCGACAGTGAAATCCATGGTAAGATCGATGGTGATATCGATAATGAGATCGATTGGGTGAGATGGATAGTGAGATCGATCATGAGATCGATGGTGAGCTCGATCGTGGGATCCCGAAATCGGCCCAGAATCAGCAACCGGCAACCCGGGAAATCGGAACAGGGAACCGCGGAACCCAGCCGGCCACCGAAATCGGCCCAGGACTTTCGCCAAATTGTTCAATATCCGCTGAGACATTTTTAGTGCAAGCACTGATTGGGGAATGTGTATGGCATGTCTTCTTCTTCTAAATATGGCCGCTAGATACTGCGGAAATCTTTAAAAGCATTCTGAGCCAATTGCATCATGAGATCGTTCTCGTGCTAGTCACAGTCGAAGCTGCAGCAGGCGAGCAAGGATCGCGCAGATGCAACAATCGACTCCAGGACGGCACTCGAGCGGGAACGATGGGCCATCCTCCATTCATACGCTTCAGAAGCTTCCTCCACCCACATTTCCCCGTCCCAAAGTTCTGAGCTCACCACTCACGAAACCACCACAACCCAACCCGAAGGCTCGAATTTGCCCTCCATTTCCAGTGCGGGGCAGCGTCGGGGAACATTGAAAAACACATGGTGCACCCGTACCCCTCCCCAACCCAAAATTTGGCTCTTCGGATTACATTGGGATGCTTTGGTAGGCGGTCATGAGCCTCCGCACCCGGTCCCAGACTCGCGTTCACAGCAGGCCACCTACAGGTGCTGGCTCGCACATCCGATCTGCATATGGTACGAATTCGAACTGGAAGGAGCTCATCAGCCGGAGGCCCGAAACAGAGGCCCCAAAATTGGGCGCGAATTAATTTCGGGGGAGCGTAAGACCCGGGTTTGCCAGGACTCGGGTTCGCCATCGTTTTTTGACGACTGCGCCTCGGATTTTGACGAGGAGGAGTTTCGTGGGATGTCTGCAGCGGGAGGCCTCGTCAAAATGCAGGCTCGGCCTCGTCATTTTTTTGACGACCTCGTCGGGGATTTCCGAGTCCCCCGTACCCGGGTCTTACGTCCCCCCGATAATTGGGGCAGTGAAAGGGCGGGCAGCGACGTCTGCAGAAAAGGGGCCCCTCAGGGCTCCAGCTGGGGGCCTTTGGGGCCCGAAGAGGGCACCTCCCTTCCCATCCACGTGCTGCCCCCTCCTTCCTTCGCGTCCAACGGCCCAACGCACGAGCAGCTCGATCCTCGATCCTCCTCCTCCCCTGCAGGTGGATATGCCCTCCTCTGCTGACGAGGAGGGCAGATCTCCACCGCAGGGGAGGAGGAGAGCAGATCCACCGCAGGAGGGTGTGTCCGCCGCAGGGGAGCAGATCCACCGGAGGGGGGGGGGGAGAGCAGGTCCACCGCAGGAGAGCAGGTCCACCGCAGGGGAGCAGGTCCACCGCAGATCCAGCGCAGGGGGGCACCGCGCAGCGTCTGCGCGGTGCTCATCCTCATCCCCCGACTCCCGACCGCAACTCGGGAGCAGGAGCAGGACCCCCCTTGGTGCGGCCACCTGGGAGTGCCTTTCGGGGGATCTGTTCTGCCGCTCCTCCCCGAGCCTCCCGGGACAATCCCTGAGGTCCTTCGAAGATGAAACAAAAAACGCCATGAACATAAACTTTTTGCGCTCCGCGCGGATTCTTTGGATCCGCACTGGGACCCCCCGGCGGCGCCTCCGGCGCCGCCCCTGACGCGCTCCGCGCGAAAGGGAGGGTGGTCCAGCGCAGATCCAAGAAATCCGCGAAGCGCAAAAGTCTGCTTACGCATACTTTCTTTTAATCCTGGCGTTGCACTTTTTTCATGACGAGCGTTTTCGCTCAATTTCGGGCTCCAGGGCCCTCGCAGATCGATCTGGCTCGAACAATGACGCAAAAGATGGGGTCTGGAGCTCCGGTCGTGATTTCTTGAGATGTTGCATGCTTTTTTTGCGGCGTCGAATCTCAGCAATCCCAAAACCTCCGAGAGCCCCCCAGGAACCTCCAAGCATCCTCCAAAGCAGAATGCGTTCGGGTCTCCACTCTCGCAGATCTCTCTCTATCTCTCCCTTCCCCCTCCATTCCTCTCCCCCACCCTAGCATCAGGTCGGGCATGTCCCCCTACAGGGGGGGTTGGGACGAACATTAAGAAATAGCAAGAAAAAGATCCCATAATATTCAAAATTACTAAAAAAAATCGTCCCCTGATCATTTTTTGACTATGTTTGCATCTCCCTCCTGTAGAGGGACGGGCCCGACTTAGCCCCAGCATCACGAGGCTTCACGGCTGGCCTGTAGACGACGGCTGGCACGAGGACGGGTGCGGGATTTGGGCCGGAGCCTGCGGCAGCTGCCGCGCCGCAGCCCAGGGGGTTCGCTCACACCTGCGAGCTGATCGGTATCTTCAGGGACGACAGCCTGACATACACGGTGCGAGGAGGAGGAGGAGGAGCAGCGGAAAGAGGGGCAAGAGGAGGAGGATAGGAGGAGGGAAGACAGGAAGGAATGAAGGAAGGAAGGAATGAAGGAAGGAAGGAAGGAAGGAAAGAAGAAGGAAGGAAGGAGGAGAAGGACGGAAGGAGGCGGGAAAGGCGCAGAAGGAGGACAAGGAGCAGAGAAGGAGGAGGGCAAGGAGCAGAAGGAAGGCAAGGAGCAGAAGGAAGAGCGGGACGGGAGGAAGAGGATCAGGATAAGGAGAGGCAGGAGGGGCGAGAGGTTAAGGAAGAGCAGATGCAGGAGGGGGGGAAGAAGAGAAGGAGCAGAAGGAGTAAGAGCAGCTGCAGGAGGAGGGAGAGGAGGAGGAGGATAACTAGAGGAGCAGGAGCAGGAGCAGGAGGCGGAGGGACCGGAGCAGATGGAGGAGAAAGGCGGGGATACTTCTCTTCGTCTTCGTCGGCACGCCCGTTCCTCGTTCGGACTGGCCTCCGATCGCCCACCAGTCCTTCCCCCCCTCCGTCGTACTGTCGCCTCTGAGTCCCCTCTCCTTCTCCTTCTCCTCCTTTTTCTTCTCCTCTTCTCCTCCTCCTTCTCCTTCTCCTTCCCCTCTCCTTCTCCTCCTCCTTCTCCTTCCCCTTACTTCTTCTCTTGATCCTCCTTCTCCTTCTTCTCCTTCCCCTCTCTTTCTCTTTTGGTTCTCTTCCTCCTTCTAGTATTTCTCCTTTCCCTCCTTCCCCTCCGTCTCCTTTTCCTCCGTCCACGTGCTCGACTTCACGGCAAGGCGCACTGCTGGGGAGGAGGACCCGCGCCGCCTCCCTACGGGCCGCCGTCCTCCTCCTCCTCCGCCTCTTTCGCACAGTTCTCCTGTTCCTGCTCCCCGATCTAGTTCCTCTCCTCCTCACCCACCGTCCTCGTCTTCCGCCCCATGCTCCCCATGTCACAAGGAGACGGGGGAGGAGGAGCAGGCGCAATCAGCCGGGCGAGGAGAAAGAAAGCGTGAGAACGAGCAGCATCATCGGAGGAAGAGCAGCTGCAGCGGACGCCGCTGGAATGCTGAAAAGGGGCCGCATGCGGCTCAGGTGGAAGATTGAAAGGTACAGGGGCAGGACGAGGAGGAGGGAGGAGGAGGAGGAGGAGGAGGAGGAGGAGGAGGAGGAGGAGGAGGAGGAGGAGGAGGAGGAGGAGGGCCGCGACCGAGCAGGTCTCAGAATTGGCGACGCACGGGGACTTATTCAGCTGGTCGATACAGGCGCTGGTGGCAAGCCCTCGTTCTTCCCACCCTCCCCTCGCCTGTCAGCCGCCACGTCTGGTATCGCCCCTTCCTCGTTCTCCCTGCCCCCTTTCTCGCTCGTGCTCCCCCGCTCCCCTCCACCTCCGCCCCCCGCTCCCCCCCCCCTCCTTACGCCCAAACCCCTGCTCCTCCTCCTCCTCCTCCTCCTTCTCCTGCTCCTCCTCCTCCTCCTCCTCCATCTCCTGCTCCTCCTCCTGCTCCTCCTCCTGCGCCTCCTCCTCCTCCTGCTCCTCCTCCTCCTCCTTCTCCTCCTCGTCCTCCTCCTCCTGCTCCTCCTCCCCCTTCCCTGCAGAGGCTCGTGGCGCGTGTTCGAAAAATGGCGGCGACGATGAGTCTGAGGTCCGTGCGCATCGCGGCATCCATATCGAGATACGTCAGCCGATTCCGTGGCCCGAGGCTGCGGGTGACCCTCGGAATGCCAGGAGCATCCCGGGACTGGGCGGTCGAGATCCAGCAGCTAAACGATCATCGTAGGTCCTGTCCCGGATTCAGCAGATTAAGCATGGGATTGGCTCGGTGGGGGGCTGAAGGGGAAAAGTTAGATGGGGCAGGCCTCGTCAGAAGGCGGCGGGGCCTCTCAGATACCCTCTGGCCTTCTGAGAAGCGTCATGTGGCTTTGGAGAGGGCCCTTCTTCACGCATGTCGCACGCTCTTCCCTGTTTCAGGCCACGGTTCATTGCATGAGTTTCCTTATCGCAGGTCGGCTCTTGTTGTGTTCCCCGTTTGCCTGGCGACCTTTTGATTCGCACAGCGGTCGAGGCCGAGTCAGGTTGCGTTCTGTTGTCGCGTTCCTTCCTCCTCTTGCTTGAAAAGTATCCGAAGGACCGCGGCCTTCTGAGTCTTCTGATAAGGCCCGCCCTCTCTGCCCTCCCTCCTGGGTAGGCCGCCGACTAAGCTCCACCCGCAACGCCTCAGGCTAGTGTTAAGTCGGGCACGTCCCTCTACAGGAGAAATGTTCAAGACTAGTCAGAAAATAGTTTGGGGAAGATGCTTCTACTATGTTTGCTTATGTTTGGATATTGTTTGACTGCGTTTCATTTGCCTTCCAAAATCCGCCTGTAGGAAGACATGCCCAACCTAAGGCTAGTGGGAGAAGGAGCATTCGAGCTTCGACCCAGCGGTCCGGTTTCGAGGATCCGGTGCATTCCGATCTGGACAGCCATGGCGACTCAAGCCAGCAATGTCTGACCCAGGGAGCTGCTCCGACCGGTACAGGGGAGGCCGTCCGACCAGGAAGGAAGGGTACGCCGTGGCAGAGCGCCGTACGAGCGCACACATCACAGCGCCCGCTGCTGACACCGCAAGCTCGTGCGGAGTGGGAGCGGCGTCCCAACCAGTTTCCATGCGATGGGGCCCCGAGAACGTGTGCCATGCGCGATGGATCCCGTACTGAATAGTCACGCCCGACCCAGTCGGCCCGCCTGCTGGGGTCCGCCCCGCCCGACATGGGTCAGCCCGCCCGACCCGCCCGTTAAGGCCGGCCCGACCTACTCGACCCGCCAGCCCCACTTCTGGTCCCGCACGATCGGCTCCTCTCGTTAATGTGAACGTGTGTGTGTGTGTGTCGCAAAAACTTTCGCCGTGTCCCAGCGCGCTCCGCCAGCTGGGGCGCGCTGAGGCGGCGGCGTTGGCCCTGCCGCTTTTTTGCTTTGCTTTGCTGGTGCTCCTGCTGCTGCTTCTCTGCCCCGCTTCCCTCTCCCCTTTTGCGCTCTTCCTCCCCCTTGGGCCACTGGGCGATTTCTCTCGGCTGTTAAATAAGTGTTTCCCTCGCTCGTTGATTCTAGTCACGCACGGCCCCGTGATACAGTGAAGGCACTGAACCACGGACGAGCATATGATTAAGAAACCTCCTCCCGTGGAAAGCTGGCCTAGTGTTGTTTTAGGGCACTTCGGAAAGCTGGCAAAGGTGTCTCATATTATCATCGAGTACAGAAGACACCCTAACCCTAATATCAGAGTGAAGACGTGGCCTCACTGAGGGCCCCGTCCTTGCATCACGGATTCTATGTCTGGGCAAGAAGGTGCTTCTGCTCCGGCACTCCTGTAGCAAAGACCTGCTATCCCTGATGCTCCCAACCCTCCTGACACATGATTATTTTCGGGAGCACAATCCCAGACCCCCGACGTCATGATTTTTTGATGACGCGACCCCCAGAGGTCCGGACCCATTCCTCGGGACCGGCTTGTCATCCCGAGTCGTTTTTTGACGGTCCCGAGGGCTGGTGAGCGTTACCAGGGCCCGAAAATAGCGAGAAACCTCCGTCGTGATTTTTGTCACGACGCGAGGAGGTCTGGGATTCCGGCTCTACCCCTTTGGGCTCTGGAGCGGCTCTTGTGGTCGGGCCGCTCCGCAGAGCTCCGCGGACGGGAAGAGAAAACGCCTGCTCGTGCCCGTGGGCCCGCCGCGGCCGCCGCGCCGTGGGCCCTCTCCCCCCTGCCTCTGCTCGATCCGCAGCCAGACAAGAACGCCCCTCTGCCCTCGCTGGTTCCTCGCTACTCGATGCACGACCCCTGGGCGTGGCGCACTGCAACCTGTCCCTGCAGGACCCCGCGCGGGGCCTCCTCGTCCCCCCTCGGAGGAGGAAAAGGCACCCATATCGCCTGTTTTCCCCTTTGGGGGCCTCCTGGGAGGCCCTCGTCGCCACCGCTGGTCTTGCCTCGCCCGTTGTCCCCTGTCTGCAGGGCCTCCTGGGAGGTCCTCGTCGCCACCGCTGGATGCGCCCCGGGGGAGGTCTGGGGGGTGGCGGTGTCGGCGGTGCCTTTCGGTTTCTCCACCCGCCCCCCTCCCCTGAGACCATGGCGGCGCAATCTTCTTCACAGCGGGCGTTTGCGCTCCACGGTGGGCTCCCGAACCCTCAGGGATCGATCTGGCTCGAAAAAGAACAAGGAAGATGGGGTCCAGGGTTCCGGTCGTGATTGTTTGCGATGTTTTTTTGTTTTTTTGCAGCGTTTTGTTTTGTTTTGTTTTTTGTTTGTTGTTTTTGTTTGTTGTTTTGCGATGTTGTTTTTGTTTTTTGTTTTTTGTTTTTTGTTTTTTTGTAATGGTTTGCGATGTTTTTTTTTTTGCAGCGTCGGATTTCAGGGTATCTCGGCGGCGAGCCCGGGAGGAGGCGAGCAGGGGCGGGCCTCTTCAAAAGGCTCGGACGTCCCCCCCCGGCCTTCTGAGGAGTGTTTTCTCTCTTGGAGCCTCCCCCGAAGGCATAGGACCGGAGGGCTCCAAAGGGTTCTTTTTGGGAGGGGGGTTTCCAGAGAGTCCCCCAGGGGCCTCGGAACTCACCACCTACCAAACCACCCCAACCCAACCCGAAGGCTTAAATTTATCCTCGATTTCCAGTGGGGGGGGGGTCGGGGAACACTGAAAAAAACACATGGAATCCGTACCCCCCCCCAACCCGAAATTCGGCTCAAATTCGGGTCTTCGGGTTGGGTTGGGGTGGTCTGGTAGGTAGAGAGGAACCTCGTCAAAACAGAGGGTGCGCAGCCCCTGGGGGCCCCTCCTGAAAAGCCCTTTCCCCCCAAACCCCCTTGGGAACCCTCCGGTTAAGAGTGCCCTCAGAAGGCCGGAGGATTTCCGTGCAGCCCCGCCGCCTTCCGAGAAGGCCTCTTCGCTCGCCGCCGAGAGTCAGACGCGGTGTTTTGATGAGCCGCTGCCGGCTCGCCGGCTCCCGACCAGCGAGTGCCCGCGGCAGAGGCACCCGCGCCACGCTCGGAGGAGGAGGAAGATGATGATGATGATGATGATGGTGATGATGATGATGATGATGATGATGATGATGATGATGATGATGAATGATGATGATGATGATGCTGATGCTGATGATGGTGATGATGATGATGATGATGCTGATGGTGATGCTGATGCTGATGATGGTGATGAGGAGGAGGAGGAGAGGAGGAGAGTATGATGATGAGGAGGAGGATGAGGAGGAGGAGGAGGAAGAGGAGGAGGAGGAGGAGGAGGAGGAGGAGGCGGCGAGCTCCGGCTCCCTGCTGTTGGGCACCCCGTCTTCGCTGCGTGCCCGTAGCAGAGAGCTCTCGGGGGCCGGTGGTTCGAGGCCGGGAGCGCGGCGTGCGGGGGAGCGCGGCAGCGAGGCGGGGGTTTGAGGAGGCGAGCGGAGCGGCAGGATCGAGGCTCCTCCCATCTCTTCCCTGCTCCTCCTCCTCCTCCTCCTCCTCCTCTCCTCCTCCTCCTCCTCCTCCTACTCTTCCTCCTTCCTCCTCCTCTCCTCCTCTCCACCTCTCCTCCTCCTCCTCCTCCTCCCTCCTCCTCTCCTCCTCCTCCTCCTCCCCTCCTCCTCCTCCTCCTCCTCCTCCTCCTCCTCCTCCTCCTCCTCCTCCTCCTGCTCCTCTTCCTCCTCCTTCTCCTCCTCCTGCTCCTGCTCCTCCTCCTCCTCCTCCTCCTCCTCCTCCTCCTCCTCCTCCTCCTCCTCCTCCTCTCCCCACTCCTGCTGTTCCTCCCCCCCTATCAGCCCTCACCCCGCTCCCGCCCGCCGACCCCATCGCGGCCCCAGGCGCCCGCACCGGGGCGGGCCCGCGAGTTGGCCGTGCGGGCGGTGGCGTCGCAGCTCTGCGCGGCGGTGCGCCAGATGCACGACTTGGGCGTGGCGCACTGCGACCTGTCCCTGGAGGAACCCGCGTGGGGCCTTCACCCCCGTCGGAGGAGGAGCAGGCACCCATACCTTGAAGTCGGGCCTGTCCCTCTACAGGGGGAATGTTCAAGAATTGTGAAAAATAGTCAGGGGACGATTTCTTCCACATTTTTTATTATTTTGTTGGGCATTTGTTCTGTATGTTTCATTTTTCGGTTAAAATTCGCCTGTAGGGAGACACGCCCGACCTAACCATACCTCTACCCCCTCGCCCGTTGTCCGTTTTTGGGGCCTTCTGGGAGGGCCTCGCGGGGGGCCCTGGAGGACCCCGCGGGAGCCCCGTTCGAAGCAGGAACAACGTGATAAGCATAAGCTTTTGGCGCTCCGCGCGGACTCCGTGGATCGGCGCGAGGCCTCCCTGGCGACGTCTCCGGCGCCGCCCCTGGCGCGCTCCGCGCGCCAGGGCGGGAGGTCCGGCGCGGATCCGAGAAATCCGCGCGGAGCGCCAAAAGTTTATGCTTCTGCCGTTCTCTCTTCTGCTACTCTCCCCCTCCTCCCTCCCCTGATGTCCTGGCGTTGCCATCTTCAGTTGAGCGGAAGATCGGGACAAGTCGGAGCCAGAGGTTCTGGGAAAGTTCCAGAGAAAAATAGAACGCCGATTTGTGGAGCGTAGCGCGCGCATTCGCAGAAGTTCCCGGTTTGATGATCTTTGCGAAACAAAGATGATCTTTGTTTCGCAACGGGCGTTTTCGCTCCATGTCGGGCTCCAGGGCCCTCGCAGATCGATGCGACTCGAACAAAACTGCGCGGAAAGATGGGGTCTGGGGCTCCGGTCGCGACGTTCTGCGATGTGGCATTTTTTTTTTGCAACGTCGGATCGAAGGGTCCCTCCCACCTCCTGGCTCCCTCTGCTGTCGCCTCCTCCTCCTCCTCCTCCTCCTCCTCCTCCTCCTCCTTTCTCCTCCTTCCCTGGCGCCCTCCTCCCATCCCCCCCTCCCGCTCCCTCCTCTCTGGGAGCCTCGTGGGGTCCATCGGGACCTCCCTGAGGGCCATCTCGGGGCTATCTGATATCAAGTCGGGCCTGTCCCTTTACAAGAGGACGACCCAAAGATAGTCAAAAATAGTCTGGGGACGATTCTGGTACTATTTTTGAGGAGTTGTGAGCATTGTTGGTGTATGTTTGAAAATTTGTCGTCCAAAATCCGCCTGTAGGGGTACGCCCGACCTGAATCTAGTGGCCCCATTGGCCTGACGGAAGCGGGCATGACGAGACGAGCAAATAATCCATTGACAAGCTTATGTCTTCCCCATAGTCTTGGCCTCCTGGGGACGTGATTGGGCTGCTCAGGGGGCATCTCGTAGCATCAGTGGAGCCTTATCCTGTTCTTGTGGAGCTGTGCTGGCTGAGATCGGGCCAGGTTGCGCCATCTTGCAGACTGTATGAGGCCACCTTGGGTGGGCCATGTCGGAGCCATCCCTGCAGGCAGTTTCTGAAAGATCGGCTGGCATAGCTGCTTTTTATCCATGCTGCTCTTGATTTGGCTTCAGCTTGGCGGCGCGCAGAACGGGGGAATGGGAGAGGGGGGAGGGCTTCTTAGAAGCACCCCTGCTTAGAAAGCGCGGGCCTTGTCTGTAAACGTAAGGCCCGCTGCTTCGAAGAAGCGGCCTCCTTCTAAGAAGCCTTCCCCCCTCCCCCCACCCCCTTGTGCGCGCCGCCAATCAGCGCTGTTACACAGTTGGTGGCACAGCTGCTGGCACTCACGACTGTGGTCGTTGGCGACCGTGGTCGTTGGCCTCGGCTGCTGGCACGTGCAGCTCGTGGCCATCAGTCACACAGGCTGCAGCAGCTCCTTGCCTGTCTGGAGGCAGGCACCGCGGCTCTGCGTGCTTGGAAGAAGAAAAATGCCACCACCATAAACGATCGCCACGTTTAGAAGAAAATGCGCAATGCTTCGAAGAAACAACGTACACTTTTTCTGGCGCTCCGCGAAGATTTCTCGGATCTGCGCTGGGGCCCCCTGGCGCGCTCCGCGCGCCAGGGAGGGGGCTACAGCGCAGATCCAAGACATCCGCGCGGACCGTCGAAAGTTTATGTTTATGTCGGTTTGTTTTCCTTCCATGCTCTCGCTTACAGGTGTCCTCGGTGGGCGGTGATCCGCGCCGTCGGGGGCAGGGGCACGACCACGAACCGACGTTCGCCACCGCCACCGCGCACAGTGATTATAGCAGACATTCTTCCTGGGTGGGCTCGCGGGCGCCGAGACGCTCAACATAAAATGTGCAACACGTTTCGGGCGAAGGCTTACATACCGTAGTGTGAAGTCGGGCATGCCCCTCCAGAGGAGGAGTATCCAAAAGTAGTCAAAGCAGAGTCTGGGGACCGCCTTTTTAAAATTATTATGTCTTTGACTATGTTTCAATAGGTCATGTTCATACATGATCCGCCTGTTGGAAGACATGCCCAACCTAGCCTTGGTGGGCACAAGTGCGGCCCCCACGCTGCCCTCTCTACCTGGTCGCCCCCATCTCGCGACCGGCTGCTCTCTCTGTGCCGAGGCGAGGTGCCCCCCGCGGGAGTCCTCCTCGCGGGAGTGGTCCTGGGGCTGCTGGTCTCGTTCCCGTCGCCGTTGTCGCGCAGGTCGAATGAGACCCTGCGTCTCGCTGGCTGCCTCGCGCCGCGGCCTGCTGCGTCTCGCGGGCTGCCTCGCGCCGCCGCCGTTCTCGTGGTGGTGGCCGTCGGAGTCCTCCTGGTAGGAGCGGTCCTGGGGCTGCTCGCGGTGTCTCCTTCGGTCTGGCATTGGCCGTAGGTGCCGTCGTGCTCGGACGCGTCGCCCTCGCCGGCCTCGAACTAGTTGACGCTGGTTGTGACGCCAGCGAGAATCGCCTCGATGCGGGCTGGGATGGAGAAGTCGCTGGCGGTCATGGAGGCGAAGGCTGCCGCGCTGGGTGGGCAAATGCCTGCCGCCTGGAGCGCTGCAATGGCCGCTCCTCGCCACTGCGCACCCGTTCTTGCCGCTGCTCCAACGGCCGCAGCTGCCACTGCCGTCTTCTCTCGCACCCGGGTGCCCCCTCCGAGAGTGGCCGCAGCCGCACGTGTAGCTGATGACGTCTGGGTGCCCAGCCGTTCGCCCGCTGCCACTGCCATTCTTTCTCGCATTCGTGTCCCCCGAACTGCAGCTGAGGGGGTATGCGTTTCCTGCCTTCCGCAGCTACCTGTTGCCGCTTCCTGTTCTCGCACAACGGAGTCCCAGGCCGTAGCTGATGACATCTGGGCTCCCAGACCCGCGGCACCTCCCGCTGCCACTGCCGTCTCCTCTCGCGCACGAGTGTCCCCGCCTGTTGCTGATGACGTGGGGTGCCCCCCCCTCCTCTTCCTCCTCCTCCTCATCCACCATCCCTCCTTTCTCTGATAAGTCAGACCTTCCAGAAAGGGCCCTGCCTTGGAGGATCGAATGAGTTGTCATCTCTTCTGCTGCGGAAGGCCGCGGAAGGTCGGCGGAAGGTCGGCGAAAGTAAAACGAGTCCGCCACCGCTGGCGGAAGCCAGCGGAAAGCCGGAAAGGTTGCGGAAGTAAAACAAATGCGCCCCAAAGAGATGAAGGCGTTTTTGGGTGCAGGGTTTCCGAAGTCGCCAAAAGAACTCCTCCCTATCGCACCTCCAGGCGTGTCGGTGGAGCGGGCCGGGCGTTTCGCCAGAAACACCCCCGCAAAGTAGGACCCCAAAGCTTGAAGGTTGCGACAAGTGTTTGGAAGGATGGAGGTCGGGCCGTTTCCAGGCACGTGTCTCTCGCGCAGGCGCCGCGCACGTTCGCCTTGAAAGCTTGCAACAGCCGCGAGGCTGGAGGCCCTGGTCGTGTTCGAAATGTGACTCGCCGCAGCGCCGGGCGCATGCGCTTTCGGAGCTCGCAGCAGCTGCAGGCGTGGAAGGCCGCTCCGTCTCTCCGACTGCGGGTCTCGCGCCTCGGGGCTGTGCCTCTTCCGCGGTTTTTGAGGATCCGTAGGGTCCGGGAGCCCCTGGGAGTTGTGCTCGGGGACGCTCTGGGGCCATCGGGGCGCAGCAAGCTCGTGGAGATTCGCGGTGTTGAGGTCCCAGGAGTGGTGCTCTGGCACGGTTTATAGGGCTGTCCGGGCGCAGCGGTCACGTTGATTCGCGGCATTGATACCCCCGGGGTTGTGTTTGGCCACGGGTGACGTTTCTGACACGGTTGCCTTCCAGTTGGGCATCTTCCGTAATCACATATATTTGTGCAGGGACCTATGAAGAGGGAGCTTGGAAGGAGGGTTTAGTGCAACATCGTTGATGCGTCTTTGGCTTACACGGGTCCCTCTCCTCACCACTGAAGGTATGGCAGGTTCGAGTCGTGTCGACGCGGCGGCGACGCCTGCGCAGGCCTTCAAGGTTGAACGCCGCCAGTGGCCTGGAATCGGACGATATCGAACGATCCACGCGATCGGAAATCGGCGGCGAGCCCGGGGGGTAGTGGGAATAGGCGGGCCTTCTCAGAAGGCTCGGAAGTCCGCCGGCCTTCTAAGAAGCTTCCCCTGAGCTTTCCTGGAGCACACGGAACACTTCTCGGGAGGCCAGAGGGGGGGTTCTGAGAAGCCCCGCCGCCTTCTGTGAAGGCCTTCTCCATCTCACTCCCCCCTTTTTCTCTCGCCGCCGATCCACGAAAGCCTTACAGGTGATCGTTTTGTAACGCATTGTCTTGTCGATTGGCGCAGGCCCTCGCACCCCTCCCCCCCTATGGGGTAGATCTTGGCTGCTTCTGGCGCCTGTTTCAGGCAGGGGGAGCCTCCTCCACAGCACGCGCTGCCGCAAACGGCCGCATATTAAGCAGAGGTCCGGAGCCAGATCCCCCCCCCCTCCCACCCCCCTCATCTTCCGCCCCATGGGCGCTCACTATCGAGAGCCCCTCCCGCTCGCCACGAAGCCCCCCGGAGGCCCTCCCGACTCCTGCCGCCGAGAGGCCCCCCCGAGCAGGCCCCGGGCCCCCCCCCCTCCGGCCCGGTGGGAAGGCCGCCGCCGGCGCTCGCCGCCGAGGGAGGGCCTAGAGGGGCCTTTGGCATCGCTCGGACGTGTGCACCTCGTCTCGGCGGGGATTCTATAGTAGGGAGCATCCCGGGAGCCTCCCGCGAGAAAGAAGCCAGGCACGGGACCGAACAAAAACACGCAGAGGGCATGGACGCCCGAGCAAGGATGGCTCAGGGGCCGTGCAGGGTGCCCCCCCTCCCTCGGGCCCGGTCGGAGAGCCGCCCCCCGCGCTCGGGAGCCTCGAGGCCCAGACCCCCTCGGGCCGTGAACCAAAACACGACGGGAGGTTTTTCGCCATGTTCGGCCCCTGGGGGCCCTCCTCCTCCGCCTCCTCCTCCTCCGTCTTGCGCGCTCGGGTCTGGCCGCCCCGCGGCCCCCGATCGTCGCGCATCAACGGCCACTCCTCCTGCCTTTCCAGGGCCGCCCTCTGGCGTGCAGCCGACGCTGTCCCCTCGGTGGCCAGGGTCCCCCTCGTCCGGCCAGGGGGCTTCTGGGCGTCGCCCCGGGGAGGAAAAGTTACCCCTACCATTGAGTCGTGCATGTCCCTCTACGGGGGGAATGTTCAAGAATGACAAAAAACATCCAGGGGAAGACGCTTTGACATGTGTTGAATATGTCTTATTTTGTTTTTCGCTTTTCTCCCCCAGCGGCGGGGGCCCTTGAGGGGAAAGTCGGACGGGGCCAGGACGTCGGACCTGGCTGGGACTCCTCCTCCTCTTCCTCCTCCTCCTCCTCCTCCTCCTCCTCCTCCTCCTCCGCCTACTCCTCCTCCTCTCCTCCTCCTCCTCCTCCTCCTCCTCCTCCTCCTCCTCCTCTTCCTCCTCTTCCTCCCCCTCCCCCTCCCCCTCCTCCTCCCCTCCTCCTCCTCCTCCTCCTCCTCCTCCGTCCTCGTCCTCCTCCTCCTCCTCCTCCTCCTCCTCCTCCTCCTCCTCCTCCTCCTCCTCCTCCTCCTCCTCCTCCTCCCTCCTCCCTCCTCCGAGGAGAAGCCCGTTCCAGAGCGTTCCTGGCTGCTCTCAGAGCGTTCCGGCACGCCCTGAGAAGGCCGCGGCGCCCGAGGCATCTTCCAGAGCCGCCAGAGCTCAGAGATGGTCGATGTCTCCCCGCCCAATGTTCGGGGGTGGACAGAACCCCCAACAGTGACACGTCGATTAGTTAATTGTACGTTTTCGGTTTTCGTGAGGGCGCCGTGGCCGTTATTTTCCAGGCTTGCGCCCGCCAGGTTTGGGCCCGGAGTCGTTTTCACTAAACCACGTTTTACTAAAGGGAGGTTTGTCCATCCCCGAAATGTCATCCTCGCCCTGGCCTCGTCGTCGAGGGGGGGAGGGCAGAGCGCGCGGCCCTGGAGAGAGGCCCCAACCGTTCCTCCGCGCGCTCGCGGGCGTCCCTGCCCGTGCCGGCCGCTCGCTCCGAGTGGGGCGGCACGCGAGGCAGGGCGTTTTGTCACCACTCACCAAACCACCCCAACCCAACCCGAAGGCTCAGATTTACCCTCGATTTCTAGTGGGGGGGGTGTCCGGGAACATCGAGAAAACACATATGGAACCCGTACCCCCCCCAACCCGAAATTGGGGTCTTCGGGTTGGGTTGGGGTGGTCTGGTAGGTAGTCATTTTGGAGGGGGAGCCAGAGCTCGGTCTGGAGGGGGGTGACCCTGGGATGAGCAAAGGAGGAAGAAGGATGCGGCGGAGAGAAGCGCCAGGAGCGAGGAGAGACGCGGAGGGAGCGAAGGCGGCCGCAGGACCCGTTCGAGAGCGAAGCATTCCCAGTTGTGGTGGCCAGGAGCGCGATCACGCAGCATCCCAGCGCCCCTCCCGACGCTCTGTTGTTTATGTGTCCTCTTGTCGGGCGCTTGTCGCTCATGGGCGGAGGAGGAGAGGGAGGAGCAGGAGAAGAAGAAGGGCGACGACGTGGACGAGGGCGGGGATCGCGGAGGAGGGAGTCGACCCGAAGGAGCATCAGGAGGAGGAGGAGTTGAAAATGGGCCAGGATCAAGAATGACGATGAGGAAAGGGGGCACGCGCGGTTCAAAAGCGCTTCCTCAGAACGTGCTGCTCATCGGGGTCCGCGGCTCAGCTGACCGGCATGGGCACGAAGGGCATGGTACGTTGCAGGAGAAGGGCGGATATGAGAAGCAACTCGAGATGATCAGAGGTAACATCACGAGCGGGGAAGCAGAAATGAGGAGGAGGATGGCTGGGAGGAGAAGCAGGAACGAAAAATATAAAGTAACCCAGAAGTGGGGCGAGCGGAAAAAAGCGCACCATGAGAGTGTAGCGGGAAGCAGGATAGGGATAGCCCCCCCTTGCCAGCCCTTGCGATCCGACGTTGCGGAAAAAAGGCCCATAGCGAAGAGTCCACCCGGAGATCCAGATCGCATAGTTCTGCGCCGTTTGTCAAGCCGGATCGACCTGTGAGGGTCCCAGGGCCAGAAACCAGGCTTCAGTCGGGCCCAATAATGGTCAAAAATAGTTTGGGGACGTTTTTGGCGTATTTCCTTTAATTGTTTGAATCTTGCTTTGCATATGTTTCGTTTTTCGTCCAAAATCCGCCTGTAGGGGGACACGCCCGACCTAATCCCAGCACCGTAGACCAGGCGGAATCGACCGATGTGCAAACTTGCAGGGTCCGGAGGGCCCCCCCTCTTCGCAGCGTTGTGCTCTCTTTCTGGCGCGTCGTCGACCCCTCGTGCGAAAAACGTGCGGTGGCCACTCAGTGGCTCGAATATGCAACTGGATCGGCTCGTGTTGCTCCCGCTGACCTCCACGAACATCCGTAGACTTAAGTCGGGCACGTCCCGCTACAGGACGAATAATAACAAATAGTAGAAAAACAGTCTGGGGGGCGATGTTCATACTATTGTTGATCATTTGTGATGTGTTTGGCCATCTTTTTTTTTTCGTCCAACATTCGCCTGTAGGAGGACATGCCCGACCTAATCGTAGACATCCAAGTGCCCTACCAAGCCTCCAGGGACTTCCGAACAAATACCGAAGGACACCCAATACACATGCTCCCTTTCTCCCCTCCTGCCTTCATCCTCCCCCTCTCCTCCACCTCGTCCTTCTCCTGCCCAAGCCTCTCTCCGCCTCTATCCCTCCGCCCCCTCCCTCCATTCGCCCATCTCCTCCCCCTCCCCCTCCTTGTCCGCCTCGTCGTTCTCGTCGTCCTCCGCCACGGTATCCTTTTTTGTTTTCTCTCTCTCTCTCTCTCTGTCTCTCTCTCTCTCTCTCTCTCTCTCTCTCTCTCCTGCCCCCATCACCCTCCTTCATCTTCCCCTCTCCTCCTCCTCCTTCCCTTCTGGTCATCATTATCTTACTTCTCCATTTCCTCTCACCTTCGGCGCGCCACGCCACTCTACAAAAATCCCTCCTCCTCCTCCTCCTCCTCCTCCTCCTCTTCCTCCTCCTCTTCCTCTTCCTTCTCTCTTCCGCTGCCTTGGAAGTCCTCCTCCTCCTTCGCCTCCTCCCCCACGCTCGTTTCGAAAGATTGCGACAGCTTCACGGATGGAGGGTGGTACATATTGAGAATTGGGTTTTTCGCTCTAGCGCCGCGCACATTCGTCTTGAGGGCTCAGCAGAATTATTCTGGTTGACGTCCCAGAAACTGTGTTTTGGCACGATGTGGGACTGTCAGGGCGCAACAGTTGCGTTGAGTCGCGGTCTTGAAGTCCCAGGGGCGGTGCTCTGGCACGGTGCAGGATCGCTAGGAAAGAACAAAAGTAATGATTTGCTGCGTTGAATTCCCAGGAATGGTGTTCTGGCACGGCTCAGGATTGTCAGACAGGTGTCTTCCAACGGGGCATTTCCCATGGAAGCCATTGGCGGGACTTGTCAAGAGGGAATTTGGAGGGAGGGTTTATTGCAACATCGTTGATTAGTCTTGGGTTTGCATTGGTCCACCTAATCCCCCCCATCCTCTTCACCCCTCGGCCCGCTCGTCGTCTTCCGTACCTGCCTCCTCCCTCTCCCCTCTCTTTCCTCTTCCCTCCTTCCTCCCCCTCCCTTCCCCTCCCTCCTCTTCCCTCCTCCCTCCTCCCTCTCCTTCCCTCCCTTCTACCTCCCCTCCCTCCTCCCTCTCCCCCCTCCTTCTTCTCCCCTCCTCCCTCCGCCCCCTCCTGTGCCTCCCGGCTCCCCCTCCCCCCTTTCCGCTCCAGGCCCCGACGTCACGATTAGTTTCACGACGCGACCCCCAGAGGTCTGGAGGAGGAGGAGGAGGAGGAGGAGGAGGAGGGGGAGGAGGGGGGAGGAGGAGGAGGAGGAGGATGAGGAGGAGGAGGAGGAGGAGGAGGAGGAGGAGGAGGAGGAGGAGGAGGAGGAGGAGGAGGAGGAGGAGGGGAGGGAGGAGGGAGGAGGGAGGAGGGAGGGAGGAGAGGAGGGAGGGAGAGGAGGAGGGAGGAGGGAGGAGGGGAGGAGGAGGAGGGAGGAGGAGGAGGAGGAGAGGAGGAGGAGGAGGAATGGACCCATTCCCCAGGACCAGCTTTTCGTCCTCAGTCCTGTTTTGACGGCTCCGAGGCACGGCACGGCACGGCCCCCCCTGTGGGGCCGCAAACTGCCAACACCTTCCGTCGTGCTGTTCTCCGTGACTCGATCGGGTCGGGGGCCCCCCTCCCCCCCCCCCCCTCGCCCCCCCCTATACCCCCCCCCCCTCCTCCCCCCCCCCCCCATCTGCAACCCCCTATCCCCCCCTCCTCCAGCCCCCCCCTCCCCCCCCCCCCCCCCCCCCCCCCCCCCCTATCCTCCCTCCCTCCTCCAACCCCGCATCCTCCCCCCCCCCCCCGTCGCACCTCCCGGAGGAGGCCGCGGCAGGGGACCCCGGAGGGGGCCCCCTCGGGCCGAGGCTCCCGGCGGCCGCGCGGGCGGCTTCCAGCTGAAGGTCATAGACTTTGCCATGGCGAAGATCGGGCGCCTGCAGGACAGGCACCGGAAGACAGATTCTCGATGGATCTCCGATGTTCGATCGAGGGCCGATCCTCCTTCACCTGCCCCTCCCTGTCTCCTTCTCCCCTCCCTCTCCTCCTGCTCCTCCCCCTCCTCACCATCATCACCATCATCATCCTGCACCCCTGCCCCCTCCTCCTCCTCCTCCTCCTCCTCCTTCTCCTCCTCCTCCTCCCCCTCCTCATCTTTCTCATGATCATCATCCTCCTCCTCCTGCCTGCCACTCCTCCTTCTCCTCCTCTTGATGCTCGTCCTCCTCATCATCCCCATCCCATTATTCATTGTTCTCCCCCCCTCTCTCCTGCTCGTCCTCCCTCCTCCTTCCCCTCCTTCTCCTCCTCTTCTTCTCCGTATCCTTCTCGTCGTCTCCCACACCCTCCTCTTCCTCTTGTTTCCAGCTTTATTTAAAGTATGTATGTTTCGTCCTGATCGGACGTCCAGACGTGTCAGTTGTGTGGGCCTGGCGTGTCTCTAAAGACTGGGTTTGGCATGTGCGACCTTGACGCTTAGAACCTCCCACCGTTACATGAATGACGGGTGAAGTGTTTTCATAGTGTGGCTCTTGCCTTGGTGCTTGTGCCGCGCACGTTCGCCTTGCAAGTTCCAAACGAGTTCACTGGATGAGGGCGACTCTGTTTCAAAATGCGGTTATCGTTTCAGCGCCACGCGCACCATGATCCGTGTGCAAGATTCTCACATTTACTATGATGAATGTTGGCTCCATGTCACACCATGTGGCTACCATATTAGCACAGCGTGCATGTATCGTGAAAGCTTCCTTAAGCGACATGGAAAGAGGATAACTCGTTTGTCCGCAACAGTCGTATCGTTTGGGTTGCCCACCATGTTTTGCGACCGATGGTTGACAGTTTCGCAGCATCTACACACACTATGTGGGACGGTGCTTGTGAAAGTGAGTTGTCGCGTGAAAAGTTTGTGGATTGAACATTGCGCAGCAAGTGAACGGATGGAGGGCGGATCCTTTTCAAAACGGGGATCGCGTTGGAAAGTCGTTTGATTTGTCAGATCTTCCCTCTGAGTATTTCTTAGGCTTGCGCCGTTCCGCCGACCCCTGGTAGAGAGAGAGATACGTGGCTTCCGATATCGTATCAATTCTCTGCTGCGTCTCGCCGTATTGCTAGTGTGTAGGTGTTGCCGATTCGGCCACCTCTTCCTCCGCGTGTGTTGCAGGTCTTCGGGGCATCTCGGAGGTCTCGGGGGCAGCCTCTCGGGAGCCTCCTAAGGGGTCTTGTGAGTTCTGGAGGACCCTCGGGGGGCGTCTTCGGGGCCCCTGGGGGCGAGGGCCCTGGGGGGTCCCAACGAGCTCCCCCTCGTTGACCTCCCCTGGGCCCCTCTTGGGACCCTATCGAAGACTTCGTTGGCCGCCTCCGAGGCCTCCAGAGCAGTCCTGGCCCCCCTCTTGGGCTCTCTGCGGGCCCTCGTGGGGGCCCTTTTTGGGGCCGCGGCAAGCTATCTTGCGATTTCCCAGCCGCGGGCCGTACCCGCCCGCCCTGGCAACGCGTCTTCGACGGGATCGGCGGCGAGTCCGAGGGGGGGAAGCGAGAAGGGGCGGGCCTTCTCGGTAGGCTCGGAAGTTCCCCGCCCTTCCGAGAAATTTTTAAGCCTTCCCCCAGGGTGCAGAAAGCCCCTCAGAAGGCGCGAGGGCTTCTGAGAAGTCCCGCCGCCTTCTGAGAAGGCCTCCTCCTTCTCACTGCCCCCCCTCGCTCGCCGCCGATGGGAGCCAAAGTGGGGGGGAGCATCGTCACAATCGTCATCATCATTGCGGTCATCATCACAAAGCTCGTCACCACCATGCTTGCCACCATTGTTTGGAGCATCCCGATCACCTAACGCTCGCACCAGTCCCTCGCACGCGCGCGACCTGCGTTTGAGATGTCACGCGAATCCGCTTGCACCGCGGAGTTACTGACTGCAGCGACCACGGTCGAGCATCTGATTAAGACACCTCCTTTCGAACAGCTGGGCCAGCGTTTCTCAACCAACTTGCCGAAACGCCTGCTCAGTTTCTTGCGCGCGTGCGTCCATCCAGCGTTCACGGCAGAAATCGGCCCAGATTTGTTTTGAAGAAATTTCTGGGAAGTTGGCCCATGCTTTCTAGATAATGGTTTTCTGAATCAGATGTCCGGTCGGATGGCGACCACGGCGATTTCCTGTGCGCACGTTTGTCGTTTTAGTCCGTTGCTGGTTTTGCTCCTTGTGCCCCACTGCAGTGACCACTCTCGATAAGTCATCCACTCTTGCGACCATCGGTGTCACCCCAACATACTCATACCATATGTGCGTCGCCCCCCCAGGGGCGACGCGCGCACCGAGAAATCTTATAGTATATGCGTCGTGGCGGGCGCTTTCTGGCCACACCGCTCGGGAAACGACATACTACAAGATGGGTCTACTATATGTTCGGGTCGGACGCGCGCCTCCCAGGAGGACACATAGTGTTAGTATTTCCCTGTGCGTCCCGTACCACTGGAGTGCCCACTGCTCCTGCTTTGCCGCTCGAACCGCTTGCACGCCCCCTCCATACCGCATGCCCGACTGGCCTGCCGCGTGCTCCAAACTTTGCACGCCGTCTCTGCCCTGCGGCCTCTCTGCGTCTGGAGCCGCCGCGGCCGGCGCAGGCCGCGGCGCCGAAGAACCAGACGGGCAAGAAGCGCGGGCCTCGGTCGGGGCACGCGGCGGCGGGGGGCGGGGTCACGTGGCCCCTGGGCCCCCCGATGCTCCGGGGAGGTGCTGGCTCAGCGCAGGAGGTGCACGGGCTCCATCGAGGGAGCATGCGAAGAGGGGCGCACGCCTGCCGTGGTGCCATGGGGTGGAAGCCTCCGGCTGTGCCGCTGGCAACACCGCCTCCTCTCCTTGGCATCGCTCGGACGTGTGCGTTTTTTCTCGGCGAGAACGATCGAGGATCATCCTGGACGATCGAGCAAAAAAACACGCACGAAACCGACAAATGCACGGGTAATGTACGTCCGAGCGACGGCAAGTCTCACTAGCAGCGGCCACGGGGCGGCAAGGGGGCCCTAGGTGGGGCCTGCGGCCTCGGCGCCCAGGCACCCGCCCGCGGACCCGCAGAAGCGCGAAAGTAGCCTTAAGTCGGGCATGTCCCTCTGCAGGAGGAGCATTCCAAAATAGTAGTAAAATACTCTGGGGACGATTTGTTTACCTATACGTAGCCTGTACGACCACCCTTCGGGTGATAAGGAGGTTGTGGGGAGGGGGAAGGAAGGGGGGGGGAGCCAACATCTGACTCAATCGATCTCACTATCAATCTCACTCAGCGGGACACCACGGGACACCACGGGACACTTGCCGATCTCACTATCGATCTCACTCAACGGGACACCACGGGACACCACCGGACACCGCGGGACATCTTGCGATCTCACTATCGGTCTCACGATCGATCTCACTATCGATCTCACTCAACTGGACACCATAGGACACCTCGGGACACCACATCGACCTCATTATCGGTCTCACTATCGATCTGACTCAATGGGACACCACGGGACACCACGGGATACCACGGGACACCAGCGGGACACCGGCGGGACACCAGCGGGACACCGACGGGACACCGCGGGCCACCGGCCGCAGGAGGAGAAACATTTGGTCTGGCCGCGGCCCAGCCACAGGAGGATTTCGGGACACCAGCGGGACACCGACGGGATATTGCGGGCCACCGGCCGCCGGAGGAGAAACACTTGGTCCGGCCGCGGCCCAGCCACAGGAGGATTTCCTCTTGCCCGCCCACGCAGCTTCGCCTCGCCCGCACGCACACACGGCACGCACGACACGAACCCGAAATCGAAATCGATTTCCCGGTAGGGGGGTCTCCGTTGGACTCACCCCCCAACCTCCGATACCGAAAACAATGAATTATTCAATTAGTGACATGCGATAGCGCCGGGACGCCCGGGACACCCGAGACACCCGGGACACCGCCAGGCCCAACTGGGACACCTCCCGGCCACCGGCGGACGGGAAACGGACTTTCGCTCCTACTTCGGCCTAGCTACAGGAGGATCACGCGCAGCTTCGCCTCGCACGCACGCGCGACACGAGCACGAAACCGAAACCGAGTTCCCGGTGGGGGGTCTTTGTTCCATTGCGATCTCACCCCCCAACCTCCGATTTACTATTTTTGACTGCTTGGGGGTATTGTTTGGCAATTCTTGTTTGTTCTTCCCAAAATCCGCCTGTGGGGGACATGCCCGACCTAAATCAGGAGGGAAAAAACACACAGACACAATTAATCGTCGATTTCCCAGAAAATATGGGAAAATATGGGAAGTGGTGGGGAAGACCAAAACCCAGAAAATATAGGAAAATATGGGGAATCTTTTTATTTGTGTGTATTTATTTGTGTGTCCCAGTTTCCCTTCACTAAAGATCGCCACGCGTCTCAGGCTCTGCGGCCTGGTCCAGCGAGCTGCCCGTCCCCAAGGGGCGGCGGCGAGAGTTCGCGGAGACGACCGCGCCCCGCGCGACGCGCGAAGTACGAAGCCAGGTGGTCCAGGAGGAGGAGGAGGAGGAGGAGGAGGAGGAGGAGGAGGAGGAGGAGGAGGAGGAGGAGGAGGAGGAGGAGGAGGAGGAGGAGAGGAGGAGGAGGGGAGGAGGAGGAGGAGGAGGAGGAGGAGGCGCACCTGGGCCAGGCAGAGCATGCTGCGCAGGTGGGCAGCGGCAGACCATGGGCGGGCCAGCGGCGATGTGGGTACCGGCGACGTAGGTGTCGGTACTGTGGGAACGCGTGGCTCGCGCGCTCCTGCAATTCAATTCGTTGTGTCGTGCTCGCTCGATCCATTCGCAGACTGGAAGTGTAGGACACTTCGTGATGTCCTACAATGCGTTTCCTGTTTTCACCGTTAAGCAACATCGCCGAAAGCCTGGCCTTGGACAGAGGGATGTTGGATCCCCTTAGAGGGGAATGGGATCGTGGGCCACGAGGTCTGCACCGAGACGCGGCACGAGGCATCCGCGGCGTCATCCTCCGTCTCCGCGTCATCGTCCTCCTGCTCCTCCTCCTCCTCCTCCATTTCCTCCCCTCTTCCTCCTCCTCCTCCTCCTCCAACTCCTCCTCCTCCTCCTTCCCTTCCTCCTCCCCCTCCTCCTCCTCCTCCTCCTCGTCCTCGTCCCAGGGCTTACTTCGTGCTGCCTGCTTCGGGGCGCGTGCCAACAAGAAAAGCGAGCCTCCGAGAAGCGAGCCTTGTGTTCCCCGCCCTACCCTCGTCGCCGTCATCGCGGTCGTCGTATGGTTCGTCCTGCTTCTTATCGCCGTCCCCCTTCCCGTCGACTCCTCCCGCTCCCTCAATGAGCCCAGACCCCCTCGACCAATGAAAAAAGTCACGACGGGCGGATTTCGCTATTTTCGTATTCTGAGGGCCCATACCGGGCCTCAGGGCCGTCAAACAACGACTCGGGATGAAAAGCCGGTCCCGGGGAAAGGGTCTGGACCTCTGGGGGTCGCGTCATGAAAAAACTCATGACGTCGGGGGTCTGGGAGCGTGGGCTGGTGTATGCCGACCTCGGCAGGCGGCTTCGGGCCGCCGCGTCCGGACGAGGAGGCTGGGGGGGGGGGGGCGTGCAGACTGGGCTGTGAAGTGGAGGGTGCGGGGAGCAGGGGTCCTCTTCCTCCTCCTCCTCCTCCTCCTCCTCCTCCTCCTCCTCCTCCTCCTCCTCCTCCTCCTCCTCCTCCTCCTCCGCGTGGCAGGCCGACCTCCGCAGGCGGTCTCAGACGCGTCCGGACGAGAAGGATCGGGGGGAGGGGGGGGGGTGCGGGCTGCGCTGAAGTGGAGGGTGTGGGGGAGCAGGGATCTCGATCTCCTGCGCGGCATGGGCCTTTGAGAGCCCCGTCTCGGGGCGGGCGGGTTGTCATCGTCGCCTGCGCCCCACCCTCCACCCCAGAAGAGCCCGGGGGAGGGGGAGGGCTGTGCCACTCGGGGCCCTGGACTGACCGACCTTGCCCTCTCCTCCTCCCGCTCCTCGCCACCCCCCTCGACGTCCTTCACCTCCCTCGATGTCTGTCCCTGATTACGTGCTCCTCTTAGGTTCTGGATCCCCCCCCGGGGCGTGAAGGTCACCGCGTCTCGCGCACCGCGGCCTGGGTTGGAGAGGCGGCCTTCTCCACGGTGGCCTCGCTCGGGCGCGAAGAGATCGGCGCGCCGCGCACCGGGGGACGCGGCGCGCGAAGGCAGGTGATCTCTATAGGCTCCTTCGCCGCGCCCGAAGCCTTCTGGCCCAGGGCCGATGGCCGGGGTGGCTTCGGCGTTGCGCAGTGCGGCGACGGCGACCCAGACTCCGTCCGATGCGATTTGTTCAATCCGCGGCCCCGGAGCTCCCGACTTGGACCCCGCGGGTAGTATTGCGTCCGAGGTACACGTTTGATGGTCCCGGGGCCCAGTGGTCGGGGGTTCGTAGAGGGCGGGGTGGGGTTGGGGCAGGACCCCAGCCGGATGCTCACAGTTCCTTCTTCCAGGGGCTGTTCAGGGCGATTCCCCTCTAACCCCACCTCTGCCCTTTATACACATGTCACATTGTTCATTTCTAACTCTTCGAAAATTCTTAGAACTTTTGGGGGCCAAGTTCCTTTCATTTCTAATTGTTCTATCCTGGGCCTTTTCCTGGCCATTTAGTGGGCCAGGAACAATGAGAAACGAGAACAATTAGAAATGAGCACGACTAGAACTGATCGACGTGTACCCCCCCTCCGAGATCGGGAGCGTCGCCCGGACTGGAGCAAAAAGGTCGCATCGCCGGAGGTCTGGGGAGCAGCATGCGGCGGAGTGCCCCCGGGGCCTGGGCGCCGCGCTGGGCTGGCCGAGCGTCCTGGAGCACCTGCGGGGGCCGCGCCCCGCCGTCTACACCCTGGCCATCCCGGCGGCCGGGGCCTGCCTGGCCGCCACCTGCCTCATCTCCCGGCGAGGCCTCGGGCCCGCGCGCGCCCAGGCGGTCGGGCGCGTCCAAGAGGGGGGGGGGACGGGCAGTGCTCTATTCCCCCGCTCGATGGTTAAAGCACCCGGTCGACCAGGGAAACGAGCAGTGGCCGAAGATCTCGCTAGATCCGAGAAACAAGAACATCACCTTTGAGTAGACCGCACAGGTTCCAGGAAACATGACCGGGGAATCACCCAACTCTCGGGAACTAGTAGTAGTAGTAGTAGTAGTAGTAGTAGTAGTAGTAGTAGTAGTAGTAGTAGTAGTAGTAGTAGTAGTAGTAGTAGTAGTAGTAGTAGTAGTAGTAGTAGTAGTAGTAGTAGTAGTAGTAGTAGTAGTAGTAGTAGTAGTAGTAGTAGTAGTAGTAGTAGTAGTAGTAGTAGTAGTAGTAGTAGTAGTAGTAGTAGTAGTAGTAGTAGTAGTAGTAGTAGTAGTAGTAGTAGTAGTAGTAGTAGTAGTAGTAGTAGTAGTAGTAGTAGTAGTAGTAGTAGTAGTAGTAGTAGTAGTAGTAGTAGTAGTAGTAGTAGTAGTAGTAGTAGTAGTAGTAGTAGTAGTAGTAGTAGTAGTAGTAGTAGTAGTAGTAGTAGTAGTAGTAGTAGTAGTAGTAGTAGTAGTAGTAGTAGTAGTAGTAGTAGTAGTAGTAGTAGTAGTAGTAGTAGTAGTAGTAGTAGTGGTAGTAGTAGTAGTGGTAGGTAGTGGTAGTGGTAGTAGTAGTAGTAG